GAACTCGGATTATGTGGTTCGAATTCCCCCTTAGAGCTTCGTGAGGGTTCAAACTTGACCTTAATAAACCGAGGTTCGAATTCGACCTTAGATTTTCGTGATGGTTCAGACTTGACTTTAATAAACCGAGGTTCGAATTCGACCTTAGATTTTAATGAAGGTTCAAATTTGACCTTAATAAACCGAGGTTCGAATTCGACCTTAGATTTTAGATGAACTATTTAATTAAGGTTCGAACTCGACCTTTAGCGAGAGTGTTGAGGTTCGTATTCGACCTCGGAATTTGCATTTGTGCGTTTAAGGTTCATTTTCGTCCTTTATATAAGCAGAAAGATAAGAGTATGGATTGAGCAAAATGAGTAATTTTATTTATTATGCCTGTGTGCCTCGTTAAAAACCCTCGCAGTCAAAGACTGGGGCGGGAAAAGAGTGCACAACTTTGTTCAAACTGAAAAAAGAAATGAAACTTAAGAAGCTGCGGTGGGGGGATCCCCCTTGCTTTGCTTGCTGGACGAGGAGACCTTCAGACTCTCGGCATAGCATTGCCGAGCCGTTTTCTGATTAGCCTTGACGGAGATGATTTTACCGTCCTTGCCCGGGAACTTCATGGTGAGGTGTGGGGTTGACACTACCGCTCCGAGTTGGTTTAAGGTGGGCCTTCCGATGATGATGTTGTAGGAAGTGTTGGCTTCCACGAGGAGGTATCGGACCATGACCCGCCTTGTATCCAGTGGTGTTCCGAAAGTTGTCAGTAAGTCTACGTACCCTCGAGTATGAACTCGCTCTCATGCGAAGCCGACTAGGGGCTCAGTGTGAGGTTGTATGAGAAAGTGGGGGACGTCTAGTTTGAGGAACGTCGGCCAGTACAGGACGTCGGCCGAGCTCCCCTAGTCGATGAGTGCTTTTTGCACCTCCCAGTTGGCTATTTCTACGACGATGACCATGGGGTCATCTTGGTTAGGGCTGACGTCAGCGTAGTCCTCGTCAGAAAAAGAGATCGGCGATGAGTTTTGATGCGGGGCCGAGGTGGTAGAGTGGACGCAGTTGATGCTTCGCAGGTGTCTTCTTCGAGCCGAGCTGCTGGCGCCTCCCCCTGCAAAGCCACCCGCAATTGTGTTGATTACTCCCCGTAAGGGAGCCGACTCTGTCTCTTGGCTTATCTCGGCTTGTACTGCGCCGCTAGTATTTTGTTGGGAACCCGGGTGTGGGTCAGTGCGAGCTCCCGAACCACGGCCTCTGCCTCGTCCCCGACCGTCGTAGCTGCCTCGGTTACCCTGCTGTCGCTGGACGTACTGGCCGAGGTGGCCTGCCTGAATGAGTTCTTCGATATGATCCCTGAGTGTGCAACACTCCTCTGTGGTGTGACCATGGTTCCTGTGGTACCGGTAGTGCTTGGACTTGTCGGCGCTGTTGGGAGTGTGGCCTGGCGATGGAAGGGCGAGCAGGTTGTTATTGGTGGCTTCCTCCAGGATGTGGACTCTAGGTGCGTTTAGGGGAGTGTAGAAGTCGTATCTCCCTCCTCTGTTTGCCCTAGTTGACTTCTTGAACTGGCTGTCGTTGTTGACTTTTATTTTGTCCTTATGCCTTTGTTCTGACTTTGCTGGACCTTTTTCGCGAACCTGGTCACGTAAAACGGAGTGTTCCTCCATCTGGATGTACCTGGCCGCGCGAGCGCGAAGCTCGTCCATATCACAGGGGGGGGGGTCTCGACATAGGCTGTCGACGAAGGGGCTGACTTTTAGGGCCATGAGCATGGAGTGCAGGGCAACCTCAGGGTTCAAGTTCTAGATCCGCACCGAGATGCTGGAGAAGCGTTCCATGAAGGTTCGTAGAGGTTCATCGTCATTCTGCCTGAGGTTGGCCAAAGCGGTCGAGGTTGTGTGATGAGGTCGGCTTGTGGCGTATTGCGCCATGAATCGCCGGACCAGGGTGCTGAAACTGTCGATGGACCCGGCGGGTAGCTGGGTGTACCAGTGGAGTGCGGCTCCTTTGAGCGAGGTCGGAAAAACCCTACACAGGATAGCGTCACTGTTAGTGTAGAGGTTTACCTGGGTTGTGTACAGGTCAATGTGCTCATCGGGGTCCGTCGTGCCGTCATAGCGGTCGAGATGGAGAGGTTTCCATCCACGAGGGAGTGGGGTCTCCATGATGCCGTCCACAAAAGGATGTCGGCGGAAGGTTTCTTGGCCTTCTGTGGCATGAGTGGGTGCTCTGCTGGCGTCTAGGCCCGACTTGTGCGTCGATGCATGAGATCGGTGCGTGGCGGGTCATGAAGTCGGTGCCCTAGTCGCAGTCCGGGATTGAGAGACTGAGTGCTCCTCCTCTCCATTATGGTTGCTCGTATGAGGAGGATGATCGGAGTGGTGTCGAGGGAGTTGAGCGCGGATTCGCTCGTTCTCGGCGCGTAGCGCCGCCAGGTCGGCCTCATTAGCGGTACACATTGCCGCTAGGTCAGTGTCGTGCTTGGCACACATGTTTTGTAGGTTGACGGCATGTTGCTGCCGCATCTGTTCGATCCGGTCGATTAGTCTCCTCAACGCTGCTTCGTTATCCATGGTGGTTGAGTGGTTTGCGTCGTCTGTTGTGCGTCTACTATGGCTTCTGGTGAAAACCATAAGCGTGGCCGATAAGAGCTGTCTTGATCGGCCCCACGGTGGGCGCCAAATGTTCTTACCGGAAATCTACTGTAGAGCTGATCCGCCAGGTAAGATCGGTGAGCCTCCTTCGCTGGTACGCTTGATGCTCCAAGATGGGGGTGGTACCTGCAAAAGAGACTCCGATGCTAAAGTTAGTGTTTGTGTGAGTATTAGTCTCGTATAAGTAATGCACGTACCTATGTGTGAATTATGGTTGCTTTGGGCCTTGAGTCTGAGATGAGGTGTAATATGATTAGATAACGGACCTCGTCTGGGGCGAGATCCTCAGAGATCAGTTATGATTCGCTTAAATACCGAGCTGATGTCACGTGGTGCGTGTCCGAGGTCGGCTTGCGTTATGGTGCCGAACTCGAAGCTCGGTTACGCAGTACAGATAGTACAATTAGCATATTTTTAGTGAATTAACTTATTAGACTTACTTTTTAAAAAAATTATTGTTTTTTTTAATCACGTAATTTTTACTTATACTTTAATTGAAGATCCAAAAAATCGAAGAAAATAAGAGAATAAAATTAAGTAAAAAATACATAAAAATTGACATTTTGAATTATATTTTATATAGTTATATTTTTATGTAAAATAAATAATATTATAATTACCATTTTATCTCTCTTTATATTGAAATGATATTATATTTTTTTAATATAATATAGTTGCATCTGATTATGTCATTTTATATAGCGAATAATTAATGTAAAAAAAAATATTAAATGTTAAACAATTATCATCATTGGTGAATTGAAAAATAGAGACCTCTCTTTATTCATATTTTCATCTTTTTTCCTTTAGATCTTTTTTTTTTTATATTCTCAAAAAAAAAAAAAAA